TATAAGCACCAACTTGGAGTCCTGAGAAACATCTGAATGTTTGCCTGAATTTATAAGGGATGAGAGCTGGATTTGTTTAATTCAGATATTAAAAAAACAGGACAAGGTCAGAACTTGAGACATTGCCAGACTGCTTTCCAACCAAGCCAACTCACATCTTACTTTAAATCTTTAAATCTGCTAACTTGTGACTTAAAAGAAGAAAACGGAGACCTTCCCGGTGGTGTAGTGTTTAGGTTCTCACACTCCATTTCAGTGGCCCAGGGTTCTTGTGTTCAGATACCAGGCACGGACTTGTGCACTGCTTGTTGGGCCATGCTGTGGCCGGTGTACCACATATAAAGTGGAGGAAGATGGGCACGGAGGTTAGCTCAGGGCTGATCTTCCTCAGCAAAAGGAGGAGGATTGGCAACAGATGTGAGCTCAAGGATCGTCTTCCTCACCAAAAAAAAAAAAAAAAGAAGAAGAAGATGAAGAAAAATCAGATTTATCATTTTTGTACAGGTCCTCTTGAGGAATTAAAAAATATCAAATAGTAATTCTAGAACTTAAACAGTATCTGAAGTAAAAATCATAATCAATGGATTTAACAGAAGATTGGCTAAAGCAGCAGGAGGTCTGAGGACTAGAGTACAGATCAATGGGAAATTTCCAGATCGAAGCATACAGAGGTAAAATAATGGAAAATACAAAAATTACACTAAAATACATGTGAGCACAGTGAGAAGTGTAATGTATATGCAATTCTATTCCCAGGAGGAGAAGAGAGAGAGGACAGACAGCAGGAATTGTTGAAGGGATAATAGTTGTGATGTTCTAAAACCATTGGAAGATTTTAGCCCATATGTATAACAAGCCCTGCAAAACACAAACAGGATATAGATATATAGACAAAGAAAACTATACCTAGACTTATGAGAGAAAAACGCTGTTCCTCGGAAAAGTCTCCTCATTTTGTTTAGATATAGTTGGAAAAAAGATCATGTACTAATTTTGTTAGGGTTAGGCAGATGAGCCCAAGAAAAATAATGAACTAGTTGCAGGATTTAAGATATTTTCTCTCTTTTTTTTTTCTAATGATACTTCAGCACAATAGGATAGGTGTGATTTCTTCTTCTTCATCACAAGTTAGCAGGTTTAAAGAGTTAGAGGAAGATGCAAGTTGACTTGGTTGGAAAGTAGTATGATAATGTCCCAAATTCTGAGGTTATCCTGTTCTCTGTATGTCCAGATTAAACAACCCCAGCTCCCATCCCTTATAAATTCAGGCAAATATTCGCGTTTCTCAAGATTCCCTGTTGGTGCTTATGCTCACAGTATTTTGTCCCAATGCTTACTACCAGCTTCTCCATAACCCTCTCTGTCCAATCCCACCTCAATTCCTGTGGCAACCACCCTCTTGCTTCATAACTTTGCACCGCATATAACTGATTCTCTCCCCAATTTCTCAAGATTTCACAATCACAATGCCATTTAGCGAAACAGGATTTTGTGAAAATTTGAAGGTAATTATATACGGTTACTACACAGAAGTGTCAAAAATAAAATTGGAAATCAGAATGCACTTGTGAAACAGAATAAGGGAAACTTCCTTTAAAATTAAGTCAGGGGATAGGAACTAGACATTTGGAGGTGAACATGATGCAGTCTATACAGAAGTCAAAGTATAAGGATGTATATCTGAATCTTGTGTAATGTTATAAACAAATGTGACTTTAAGAAAAAAGAAAAATATGAGGCTGGGGGTCCAGAACGGGGGCACTCCCACACTGTTCAACCTCAATTACAGGAAGAACAGTCAGTTACAGACCCCAACAGGAAGAGATGTATATTGCAACCCAAGAAGAAATGGGCACCCCAGCAACTCGGGCAATGTGAACCATCACTACCCTGAACTCTCGCTTTCTACAGGCGGACTTTTGTTCAAAACAATGCCTCTTGACTTCCTTCTTTTTATCTATAAAGTAATATCTCTCTCTTTGTTTGATGGATTTGCCTAGGACTTTTGCTATTGCTTGCTTATCCGGAATTACAATTCTTCTGCTGTTTTCAAATAAATCAATTTTGCCGGTGAAATAACTGGCTGTTTTATTTGTATAGGTTAAAACATTCTTGCTAAAGGTTTCCAGACATTCTTAGTTACTAATCTCTCCAGGCCATGTCTTGTCATATAGTGAATACACATGTTCCTTTTGGAAGCAAAAGCTCTTTTCACTTGTTTTTGTTTTTTTTTTTTTTTGTGAGGAAGATCAGCCCTGAGCTAACATCCGTGCTAATCCTCCTTTTTTTGCTGAGGAAGACCGACTCTGAGCTAACATCTATTGCAAATCCTCCTCCTTTTCTTTTTCCCCAAAGCCCCAATAGATAGTTGTATGTCATAGTTGCACATCCTTCTAGTTGCTGTATGTGGGACGGCGGCCTCAGCATGGCGGGAGAGGTGGTGCGTCGGTGCGTGCCTGGGATCCAAACCTGGGCCGCCAGTAGCGGAGCGCACACACTTAGCTGCTAAGCCATGGGGCTGGCCCACTCCTTTCACCTTTAGTCTCTGATTCCAGGATGGAAACCAAAAATTTCCTTTATTTTTAGAAATGTAGTGCTCCATAGCTCTTACTAGCTTTCCTTTCTGTTTTATAGATATATACAGGTTACTTGCCTTTCAAGACCAAAATAGCTATTAAAGTGTTTTCTTAATTAAAAGAGCAGTTTCTCCTTGAATGAATTTTGCCAGCTCCTTAGAACACAGGAATGAGAGACATTCAGTAACATATTTACTGTGTTAAACTTCATCTCATCTATACAGTCAAAATGAATACTTCTTGACAGCAAGAGCGTGTCACATCTATCACAAATAAAAAAGCTGTAAATTATTAAAGTAAATGTTTAAATCAAGAGAGGACTGAAGGTAGGGTGAGGTCAGGAAATTGGAGTTGTGCAATTACAGGACCAGATCCTGTCCTTATGTACAATATTGATTAACTGTTGATTGTGGGTTTTGTTGCATTAATTCCAATTAAAATGTCACATTATATGATTTATCTTGATTATTAAATTTTTGGCAGCCCCATTGAGTTTTGTATCCACGGCAAGTGCTTAGCTCTCCTTACCCCAGTCTTGACCATGTTATCAGGTGTCTCTATCTGGGCAATTTTTTTTTTTTCAAATGAATCTGATTTCTCTTTTCAGCCTGGAGTCTAGGAAACCAAAGAGAATATTTTGGAGCACAAGAGCATTTACCCAGAGGTAAATTATAGGCACATTGAGTAAAGAGTTAAAGTAGAGAGACAGAGAGTTGCTTACACTTACAGGCTACCCCAACCCAACTCTAGATTTAACCAATAAACCCTCCCAAGGAAGAGACAGCAGGGTGAGGGCAGCATCCCCATTGATCCCTGGCCACCTATGGTCTCTTCCTTTTGGCATTCAGACACCAATCCCCATGTTCCATGCATAGCTGTCTTTATGTAATCTGCTTTCATAAGGACTTGTTTTTATCCAGCAAATACTTGCATCCTATGATGTCCACATGGAGAGAAATGCTGTATCCAACTCAGCTTTGCAATCCAACTGATACTAATTCATTAAATAATGTCTCCCCTGGATGAACAGCATGTAAATAAATAACAGAGAGTCCACATCCACAGAGTTTGTGCAGTCCCGCAGAGAATGAGAAGTTTATCAACATGTGTCCAAGGCAGGGCTGAGTCAGAAGCTCAGACCAAAGGAAGTGAGGAACTGAGGAGACTAGAGGAGGGAGGGGCTGCTTCCTGTGCAGATCAGTTATGGTTTCCTGAAGGAAGGAGGTGGGGTTCCAGTGGGGACTGGATGAATGAGGCCCATTTTTGAGGGGTGATGGGAGCAGGTGAGGGCAGGGAGAGCAAACAGCATGTTACAAGACAGCACAGGCAGTAATTTGGGAAGGTCAGGTGACCTGAAGAGCACAGGAGGGTCCCACTTGGTGGCCACCATGGTCAGGATGGGGAGCTTAAAGGGAATCCTCAAGGATTTTGTAGATCAGCCTGTGTGATCAAACACTGCACATCAACCATGATGATCAGAAGGCAAGATTTTTTGTGTTAGAACAAAGTGCTTTAATCTCTTTTAAATTTTACACCTGTTTGCAAATGGAACAGTTTCTGAAGCCACATCCGTCACAGCAGTTTCTCTGCTTTCTTATCAATATCTTGTGCAGCATAGTGTCCAGGGCCAGCCACAGGTGCCAATCTGCTTCCTCCGTGGAATGCACAAAACATCAAGTATAGGCCTCCACGCTGATACAGCTAACAGGATTCCTTATGTGTTGAGTTCAACCTAAAACAAAAATAAAAAAGACAAAAGGGTGTCCAAAATCAAAGCACGGAGTCAGAAAGATGCACCGGGTCCCCATGAGCAAATCTTCAGGCCTTTCGTTCCCAAGGCTGCTGTTATTCTGTCAGATAGTAAGATGTGCACTTTTCAGACAGAGACTAGCACCACAGAGGTTCCAGTGGGGCCTCCCGTTCCTAGAACCAGAACACTGTGTTCCATGGCCCAGTGACAGGTTTGCCAGGGCTCCCCCAAGGCAGAGAACCTCCTCGATGCTGTGCTAAGTCAGTTCCCACACACAGGACAGTGGTTTCTGAATCAGGAACAGCCAGCTGGTGTCTGTTTTTATTGTTTTGTTTTCCAAGTCATTTATTTAATTATGTATTTCAGCTGAGATGGGAGAAAAAATGCAGATTAAAGGGTAGGAATTGTTTAATGAGAACTTAATATGTAAGTAAACTTCAAAGGAAAAATCACAAAGGTTAAAAAAAAACTTTTTGTAATATTGTCTCTAATATCTGAGAATTATCTCAGGTGTGGTCTGGATCTCACACGCCCTTCACCCCCCTTCATTGCTTCCTTCCATCATCTCTGCCTCCTCATCTCCTTGTATTCCTGTCTTCCTAACTCGTTTTCCCTCCTCCTTCCCTCCCTCCCTGCAACTGTTCTAAATGTTGCAATATACTTGTAAACAAAATTGATAAAGTTAATTTTCAATATAATTTCCAATTAACAGCTATCTCAGGGCCCAGCCTCACATTTTCTCTCTCTCTCCATGGTTTCATCCCTCTCTCCATCTCTCCCTCTACTCTCCTTCCTTCCTTCATCCCTTTTATTCTACTTCCAATGCCAAGGATAAAATAAAAGTTAGTCATCCAATTTTAAAAACTGCTTTCGGTAGTCTGTCTCCCAACAGTGAACCCAGAGTAGGGCTCTCGGGGATGAGTCCTCGAGGACCTAAGAAGACCTGCAAAGACAGAGGCACATGGGTGCTCCCCAAGGGCTGAACCCAAAGTGCAGGCTGGGTTTTGTTTTCCTCTGGGATTCTCCACTACCTAGAGACTCCAGCCTTTAAGTAGAAGATGTATAAAGAGACATTCTGCACTTCTGTCTTTGGAGAAAATCAAATTTCTTGCGTTTATGAAAAAAGAAATGTCACCTAACAGAGGAATCCTCTGTTATGCAGCGGTTTTAGCATGAAGAACAGTGAGGAGATGAAATTTACAAGCTATCTGGCTCCTTCAGATTAGCTGAAAAAAGTCATGAACTGTGCAGTAAAGTTGTTCATCTCCTTTCACATTGAAGGACGTGGTGCCTGGTTCTCATATGCCATCCATACAGTCGATTTGATCTAAGAATGTGTGTAAAAGAAAGAAAAGGGAGAACCTGAGAGAGAGTGAGAGGGAGAAAGAGATGGACAGGGAGAGAGAAGAAGAAAACGAGGGTGAGAGAGGGAGAAAAAAGGAGGAGAGGGAGAAAGAAATGGAGACAGAGAAAGAGAGAGAGAGGAGAAAGAGAGAGACTCCATCCTATTCTTTCCATTTGTTCAGCCCTCTGTCCCCCTGGCCCACCTCACCTGGAACAGGCAACAGGAAGACAAAGAGCACTGCGAGGAGGAGAGACAGGATCCTCATGCTGATGGGTGGCAAGCTTAACAGCAAGCTGAGACAGGAGAGGATGCTGAGTTTTTCACCTTATAAAGGCTCCAGGCTACAGGTAGAATTTAGTGTTGGCTGAATCTTAAGTAATTACAAAAACCTCTACTGCCATTGGGACCACAAACTTCTTCCTGTCTTCCTCAGTTAGGTGGTGTATGGACGGTTGAGGGGCCAGGCCTGACTCCATGTGAGGACAGGCTTCCTGACAATCATTTGTCTGCCTTGTGAACTTTCCATCTGCCACCTTTTTTTTTTTTTTCTGAGTCTGGGGACAGTCTTGCTCAAACCCAGCATCCCTAAAGGTAGTCATGGTCTGTCACAGCAAAAGGAGGGCTTCGGGCACTAAGGGAAGATAGACGTAGTGAGCCTGGCCCTGCCTAGAATATCATGAGTTGGTAACATTCATGTGAAAAGTCTCCTAAAATTTACCATCATCCCAACGTGACAGATGATGAGACAGATAGGGTCTCAGTTTCTCTTAATCAGAGAAACAATGGGAGGATGAACTTGTGACTAGACGCATCTCCTGAGAATCTAGAAATGACAAAGTCAGGACAACACTTGTAGTCTCACTACCTTGGTAACTCAGGCAAGATTCAGGGCTACATAGCTTTTGTGCTTTGACAACCAGAGGTTTATTTGCTTTTCAGAGATGTCACAATTAAGGATCTAACCTGCCATTTAGATTTTGTGGTGAAGCACTGAGTGGACCTCCAAGTCCTCCACACTCTTTCCCTGTTGTTGGGTCCCAGTTCTGCAGGAACCCACAGAACTTCAGGCTTGTGTGAGGTCTCCTGGTGTCCCTTGAAGCCTCACCATTCCTCTGAGACCCAGCACAGCAAACGGTGACAACCAGGAATGGACAAAGCCCTGTGCCCGGTGCTCAGTGGGGAGAATTTTTCTGAGGGAATATAAATTGCATTAATCATAGTTCCTTCCTCTTTAGCTCTAAATGAAGTTTGAGAGAGACAAACATCTATTTATATGAATTATAATTATCTATTAATAATATATTTAGTTATTTATGGACTTTGATGGAAAAAGTCTATTTTCTAGGGTCAGTTTTGATAAGTGTTACCATACAACACTGGAGAAAGAAGTAGAATTTAGTCTTGGTCTACTTTATCTCTTCATTTAAAATGTCATGTTTTCAAGATCCATTGTTTGCAGTAGGTCAGGGATGTTTTTAAAACGCAGCTGTTGATGCTATTGTGTAGGCAAGGCCAGTCCTGACTTTCCACAGGAGGAAGTTTCTGATGGGGTGTGAAGAGGAGGGCTGGGCCAGGATGCTGTAGGAAGTTCTAAAGGAGCTCCAAGACAAGGCTCTAAGTGTAGTCACCAGTAGGTCATGTCCCTTATTGTGACTGTTTCCCTGTGTGGTAAGCAGGCTTGTATTGAGGATCACGTTCATCAGTCCTGACCCTAAGACTGTTTCTTCCAGGGGAAGTAAGCTTAGGGAAAAGTTGAATGTTAAAGATCACCTAAACAGTCTTCCCTCGGTATCCATGGGGGACTGGTTCCGGGATCGTCCACAGACACCAAAATCCATGGGTGCTTGGACCCCTTAGTTGGCCCTCCGTCTCCATGGTTCCGCATTCATGGACAGACAGGGCCAAATGTATATTATCTGCCTAAAATAACTCTTTTTAAAAATACATATATACTTATTTGCTACATTTCTTTCATCTTTCAAAGGAAGAGGAAAACATCATTGCAATTTGCCCTAATTATCTCAGCATGCATCTATTAAGAAGAAGGAAAAATTCTCATACAAATCACAATACCATTTACATACATTAACAACTGACAATAATTCCTTAATATCATTGTTATCTGGTCAATATTCACATTTCCCCAACTGTTCCAAGAATGTGCATTATAGCTTTTGATTTTATTCCTAGTTCATTTTCGATCTAGATTCACACATCGAGTTAGCTTGTTATGTCTCTTTAGAGTAAGCATTCTTAAACAAATACCACACTTTGGTAAGGATTTGAAGTCAGCTGAAGTAAGTTAGTGGTTTCCATCTTTTTCTATGTTTGATATCAATCCCGACTATTACTGATTAAAATTATTTTTATAAAAGTAATACATTTTCATTTAAAGTTCACCCATAGAAGAGGATGAGTTTTCCTGCAATCTTTTTCTGCCCTTAGAGAACCACCAATAGAATTTAGTAGTATAATTGACAGATAAAGTTCTATTCATTTAAGGTGTACAGCATAATGTTTCACTATTAGTATATGTTGTGAAGTGATCACCACAATAAATCTAGTTAACATTCATCACAACATGGTTACAATTGTTTTTCTTCAGATGAGAACATTTACCCTACACTCTTAGCCACTCTCAAATATACAGTTCAGTACTATTAACTACAGTCACCATGCTCTCTGTTACATTACCAAGAGTCATTTATTTTATAACTGGAAGTTTGTACCTTTTGACTCTCTTCAACCATTTCTCCCACCACCTATCTCTGGCAACCATCAATGGGTTCTCTGTATTTTTAAGTTCAGTTTTTGATTTTTGTTTTTGTTTTAGATTTCCATATAAGTGAGATCATATGGTATTGGTTATTCTCTCTCTGACTTATTTGACTTAAACTAATGCACTCAACGTCCATCCATGTTGTCAAAAATGGCAAGATTTCCTTCTTTTTCATGTCTGAGTAGTATTTCATTGTGTATACGTAACACATCTTCTTAACAATTCGTCCATCCTTGGGCACTTACGTTATTTCTATATCTTAGTTACCGTGAATAATGCTGCAATGGTCAAGTGGATGCAGATATCTTTTTCTGTTAGTGTTTTCAATTTCTTTGGATAGTAGTATTTTTTTCAGTAAACTTTTTCCTGCTCCAGATCTGGGTGCATTTGTGAAGACTCTGTTAGATGAGAACGTAAAATTGGGCAATAATCTGAAAATCACTGTGGAATGTATCACCCATGTGTCCCTGGGGATGACGACTGGAAGGAGTGTGTAGTATCAGCAAGGTTGTCTAAAGACGTGGGGCTGAGTTCCAACCAGGAATTCCTATGGTTGCAGCTGCTTCTTTTCCATTGGCATGGTCTAAGGGAGACTCTGTGGCTTTGTTCATCCTGGAATAAAGAGTAGGGACACCTTTATCCATGAAAGGTAGGGTTATTATCTCACTTCAGCAAGGAGACCACCAATGAAACCATGGAATGCCTCTCAGAAATCCAGAGATGTAGTTATTATGGGATTCAGGGAAGGGTTGAGTTTAGGTAAAATCTAAATGACTTAGTAGTTTTCAGAGGTTCAAAGCAAACTAAAGCTGTATATAATATGGTTACCATCAAACCTGGGCTGAGAGGCAGACTCACAGTCTTGTTCCTTAAAGGAAGATAAATGCTGTGTCCCCAAATCACTTTTACCTGTAACTGAGTAGGAAATTGAGGCAGTGTCTCTGTGGCAAAGTGGCTCCACTCCCCAGAAAAGAGTTGGGTGTCCCTTCCTATAGATGTACTTTTAAATAGTGAACACTTTCTCATCTACAACTTTACGAGACATGGTTTCTCAGGACAGAGTACTCCATGTGAACTAACAAAAGCAGTTTTTACTGGTTCCCCTAACTTGTGGGCAGGGCTAGCTTCATGGGTTGTTACAGTCACACAGGGACCTGCTTTCAGAAGGCCACACTGCTTGGTTTAATGCTCTGCTGCCACCAATGATATTGCTAATAGTTTTTTCTTTCAACTTGCGGTTTGTGAGTCAAGTCCAGGGGAACAAGGGAGCCTGCACCTGGGAAGAGCAGATATGCTCAGGGTTCCTGGGCTCAGGCCCACGGACAGAGAGGGCAGTGTGCGTGGGGACAGTTGGCCCAGATGCCCAGACACCCACATCCTTGGATTAGGCTGGGCACTTTGGGGCTGACGGGGCAGGGTGGGAGGAGGCATGGCAGTGATAATGGCAGCAACAGCAGCAGTGGCCTGGGCACTGGGAGAAAGGATGATCTCTGTGTGGAGGCAACACTGACAACACTTTGCCCGTCCATCCTCAGAGTCTTTCCTGGCACATCTGCACAAATATTACATCCCTGCCTGGTGCACCAACACAGGAACTGTAGACACTCAGGCAGTAAACTATCATCAATAAATTATTGCAAAATAAGAATGTGCATATCGACATTGCAAAAAATCATATCAGGGACTTTATAGACATCTTCTAAGTGTTTAGAATTCTTTGAGGAGTCCTCAGACTTAGAAATAGAAATTAGACCTA